TGAATGTCTGGAGGTGTAGGCACCTCGGAATGATTGTGTTAAGCTAGCACTAAGTCCCTCCCCCATCCACCTTTATTCTTTTCTTTACAATAAGGCTTTCAAATCAGTCAGGGTTGTATGGCAGTGAAGTATCGGTGTTGAACACTGATGTCATGCTGTCGATGATGATGATGATGATGATGATGAGCTTTTACCTGGTGGTACCCTGAACAGTGATAACTAGATTGTTTTATGTCTGGTCATAAAAGCTGAAATGCATTTACGATGCACGCATCTGATTGTCCGAACGTGTGCAGTTGTGAAGATTCCACCTTGGAATCAATTTCACTGTCTAGGCTTGGGCAACCTGGCTAGCCCTCGTGCTTCCTTCGGACGGCATGGCAGTTAGGCACCGAAAGGGTGTTACAGCTGAACGATTGTCCCTTTATTATTTATGTTTATCGATTTCCTCGGATGGTAGTATTATCAGGTAACGTTTATACAATCTTATAAAGAGCATGGGCCAATGAAGAACATGATAGTTGGGTGAAATTAGATATACTCTGAAGTAACTCGTATAACCTGTGTTGTTATCAGAATTTCGGTGATGCGTCCTTCCCTATGGTGCTGACCCACGAATATCCACATCTCACCAAAATGTATGTCCTGTCTATTAGTAATGCACTGCTCATAAGGTTGCTGAAAATTAAATTCCAGCCGACGACCGGTTTCGCCATTCCTGGGGCTCATCAGGTAGGCGCATTCCCCGAGTTTCCGTCAACCTTGTATTCTACTTGAAAGCAAATTGCACGAAATTAGCGAAACACTCACTTTCAAACTAATTTGTTTTGCGAAAGACTCACCTGGAACCCAGCCGAATTCCTCGTTTGTGAGGTTTCCAGGCAATTGAATGTGCTGCATTAGGTTGCCTCATGTTTCTGTTGCTACGATATTCGGGATATCGTGATACCTGTATATTCGTAATGCACTAGTCATAAGGTTGCTGAAATCCAAGTGAGTCTCTCTCAAAACCAAATTAGTTTGCAAATCGATGTATTTCGCTAATTGCATCCTGTCTACTTTCTCTTACTGCAATCATTACGCCCGTTTATTCGGAAGAAAGTTAGGAAACGCCTGTTGAGCCTGCCCGTAATGAACCCAATAACACTTCACGATACCGTACATCCCTGACCCTCAATTGCACGCCGGAGGCATGTGTCCATAGTTCCTCGGTTCGCTCTTTATATACGTTGCCGACTCTTTCGTTGGAGTTGCTTCAATACGGCTAACTGGACTGGTCCCATTTTACTCTCTTCCAGCTCCACAACCACTCCGGATCATTCTTCCACTCCCATCCCAGTCGGGACCCAGCAATATCTCCTTTGTCCAAATTGTTCTGCCTCTTCCACAGCTCGATGCAACCTACACAGTAACTCCAACGCACGGTCCTCACATTCTTCTGCCACGCAGGTGATCCCCCCTCAATTTAACTCGGTTTATGAAAGCGAGTTCGCGTTCATTCGGTGTCTCGGGCGTGGCGGTTTTGGTCGTGTGTTCGAAGTAGAGAACCGGTTTGACGGATGTCGCTATGCCATCAAACGTATTCAGATCGACGAGAAAATGGAAGACAAGAACAAATTTCTTCGCGAAGTAAAAGGTTCGTCGTTGTTGATTTTATTGTTCTTATATATATATATATNACTGCTTCCAAGGCTCCAGCCCTCTACTCCGGCCAGTCTTTAGTGTTCATATTCTTTGCGCGAGTTGCAGGGGCAATAGTCCTAAAACCGACCCATTTAAAGGAGTTAGCCTCTTTTTCGAAAAAGTTTGGTGACAATCGGTAGATTTATTGCTGGGCAACGTTTCGCTTTTGACACAAAGGCTTCGTCAGGCCAAATGACTAGGTTCCGAGGTTGATCGAGATTTAAGGCGGAAGGAGAACCAATCAGCTAAGTTAAGCTAAATCTCTGTTGTGTGTCGGCCGAGGGATTTTAGTGTGTTAGAGTGGTTGAACAAGTGTTGGGTCGGTGGGGAAACCTACATGTGTTTGGGTCCTGTCTATGGTCTAGTTCTTCTGGTTCGGTTCATTTGATGGTTCCTCTTGAACTTCGTTTGAACCTTCTTACTTCTTACCTCTTGCCTCTTACCTGAGGCACGATGGCGTGACGTTCTCACAGTGGACGGCACTTTGTTTATTGCTGTAGGAGTCAGAAGCGCAAACTAGGCAGTGGCGACAGTAGCTTGCGTGCATACACTACTCCATTTGGTGTGTGACTTTGCCATACTTTTTATGTATTTTTGTCGTCTTTCTAGGCGATAGCTTGGATTGCGACCCATAAGGCTGACTAGGTTTTTTTACTAGCTTCCACATGTATAACCTGACCGCTTCTGGTCTTTTTTCTACCAGCACCTGGTCAGACATTAGGTGCTTTGTAGAAATTGGTCAGCTATCGTTCGAAACACCTGATCTCTCCACCACAGTCCGTCAGGTAACAACAACTGATCTGTCAAGTCACCTTCGGAAGCCGACAGATCCTCTGTAGCTTTTCTTTCCCAATAGCTGGTTACGCTCCCGGGGAAACCTGTGGATATTATCATCATCGTCATTGTTCCGGTGGCTAGCTGCCATGCTACCCGAAGGAAGCACGAGGGCTGAGATACCGCCAGGTCGCCCAAGCCTAGGCAGGGGAAGTCGAGAGGTAGAGGTCGGGTTTGAACCACGGACCTTCCGGCCATATTTCCGTTGCAACAGTGCACTCCAGCGTTGTCATAACTTTGGAACAACTTTAGGCAGTTTACTATAGTCCCTTTAATATCCCTGTTCTCAAAGTATTTATACCACTCCATTTATCTAGTTCATTATCGTTTTCCTGATCACAGATTTTGCGCCATTTGTACAGGTGCCGATTCGCTGACTAGTGGGATTTTTTTGAGGACATATTATATGTGACTTGCTTTGATATTGAGTAGTATCTGCCTGTCCGCCCCATCTCTTTTTACTACCTAGTTCACACCCATTGTCATTTTACCTGTTAAGTAGTCAGGTTCGTCTTGAACGAAGGATCGAGTCTATTTGCCCAAGGCTATATTTGCAACCAATCGTAAAATTCCAGCACATTGTCTTGCCACACTGGTTCATCATTCATCTGACGTAGGTTTATCTTACTCTGCTGCTTTCCTGTAGTCCAATCGAAATCCCGCATGTAACTCTGATTGGAATAATTCTATCGACAATTGACTGTTTCTTTTCTTGTCTTTCAATCGATTACGGCAATCGATAGTCGGCAATGAGTTGCGTCACTTGATCCCCGTCACTTGCCCGAAAAACCCTAATGTTTGTGTAGAAAACTTTTATAGTGGTGCATTCTGTGAATTACTGTGCGTTAAATCTTATTAGTTAAGTTATTTTTAAAATCATTCTTCTCTTTCGATTCAAGCCCTAGCCTCGCTCGATCATCCAGGCATTGTACGTTACCATCGTGCATGGTCGGAAACTCCCCCACCCGGTTGGCAAGACGCTCGTGATCGAATGATATTTGGGTGTTCCGAAGATACAGGAGCTGATTCGGACAGTGCAGCTCAGTCTTCGCAGCCAAGCATGAAGTGGAATTCTGATCTGCACTCCACCTGGGACTCGCGCTCCAATGCTGGAAATAATCTCGGAAGCAAGAAGAACCCAATTCCAAAGTAAATATATATTTGATAGTAAATAAAATAATCGTTCATCTGTAACACCCTCATCCTAGCTGTTATGCAACCGGAAGGAAGCACGAGAGCTGAGATCCTGTAAGGTTTCCCAAGCCTAGCCAATCGCAGTCGAACCACGGACCTACCGGTCAGTAAATTCCCGCTTTAGCCGCTGAGCTATCTTGAGCTTTATATATTAATTGTTAAGACTGAGTGAGGAGCGCACTTCTGAATAGCCTGTTCAGCCACTTGTTTGGACATTTATCAGCGTGACCGTGCCTCCCAAAAATCATCATTTCCGTAAATCCAGGTCACCCGTAGGTCATCCGTCAAAACGGTCTACTCTGATTATACGTATTACCTCTGGTTGGTTGATGTTGACTCAGAACCCTATCTTTGTGTACCGCCCTTGGAACTATGTCGGCTGTTCGATTGAGCCGCTGTGTATTTTTTACGTTGGAGAAGACCCGTCAAGGCCTCGTCACGAAGAGGCTGACCCTTTCCTGTGTGTGTTAGCTTCTTTGCATCCGCGACCCATTGAGTTATTATGGGGGGTGTCCGCGCGACACTCAGATTCTGTCATACCAGGTGGGCCAGTGGTTAGAGGTCTGACCAACAAAGTTTCCTCTTCCCTCCAGTTCGGGGGTTGGAACATGTATGGTAACTTGTTCTGGCAATACACCCGCATTGAATGAAGGAGCTAGCTGGTGCGGCACTCTCACACGAATGAATAACGTTGAAGGCTCGTGGACGGATGCATTATCCTTAATGTTCATGTTGAGTAACCGAGCACTTCTTCCCGTAGTGTCATCAAAATCAGGTCATCCACTTATATCGATTTTACACTAATCAGCTGCAGCACGCTGTAGAGGACATTTGTGAGACCATGTGTGAATATGAATCTTATTCACAGGGTTGTATGTATCCTTGGCCTAGCACTGGATATTTCATTGGTTTCCACAATAGTGAACCTGGGAGAGTCATCAGACCCCGCCCATTATTTGATTTCTTCTGAAAAAGAAAGGGGTTGAAAGACAATGATTATATTGCCTTCTGTGTATCGTTAGTCCCCATTTACTTTCTGTGCCAACTGTTTTACTCTGAAAATATAGCAAATGTTTCCCTCTTATTGTGCTGCGTTACTAGTGATACGCGTCTCAACCCACCCGAACTGGAAAGCGGTGTCTAATTTTCTTTCTTGTTGCTCAGGCTTTTTACAACTTGTCCTACACGTGTTCACTTCGTTCGTTTGATCAGTCGCCCTTCTGGCCTCAACTCGGACTGTTTAACATACTTGGACAGTGAAAGTTCAGTTAGCGTTTGCTTTGCGTATCGGATGATCCACGTCGAACTTCGGTTGCGTTAAATATGCGATCTGCTGGTGAGCTATAATGAAAGTGGAATACGAATACAATGATCCCAACCTGGTTTGCGCTCGCCTACGCAGAACACGATCAACCTTAGGCTAGCTCAGTGTTTATGACACGAATTCACTGACCGGAAGGTCTATGGTTTAAACCCAACCGTGGCACCTCGACTGCTCCTGCCTAGGCTTGGGCAACCTGGCAAGATCTCAGCCCTCCCCCCTCAGCATTGCACCCGGCACCGGAAGGGTGTTACAGCTGAACGATTGTTATTTTACTAAAAAGTGGTCTCTTTTTAAGTGGTCTGAGTGTATGCCCCAACCTTTTGGGCAGCATGATGCGAATTTAATTTAGGGTTCCTTGATAGTCATTCCACGCCTTGTATTAAGCCTAATGTGGCAATCTGCATAAACTTGTGCCAGAATGAGATTTCTGAGTGCAAACAGCCCCCATCGAAGCCAACCAATCCCAAGCCGGTGTTAACTGATTTATGTAGCAAGAACACGCCCCACAGCGCCCCATCTTGACCTCTTCAATCCGGACAATAACGTCCGCTCGCACAATAGTTTTCGTAATACTGGAACCGTAACGCAGTGTTTTACAGTCTTTTTCTCACTCTGTCCGTTTTTTGTTTTCAGTCCACTCGAAGTATCTCTGGATAGTTTTGTATCCTCGCCTCGGCTAGACAACGATAGTCTGATCGTCTTTCAAAGACCGGATGATCAGGAGATCACTGGAACACAAAACTCGACTCGCACATCAACAGCGTATTCTGTTGGCGTCGCGGCCGCTGAATCTGCTTTGCTATCCCCATCGGGCTCTTGTGAAATTACCTACTTGTACATACAAATGCAACTTTGTTCTCCACTTAGCCTGCGTAACTGGCTGTTAACTCACAATCAGCAACGTTCGCGCCCGCCACGCTCAGAGTTGTATCACATGTTCCGCCAGATCACGGATGCGGTGGCTTATCTCCACGCACACCGACTGATGCACCGCGATTTGAAACCCTCCAACATTCTCTTTGATCTGAATAATCGACTGAAACTTGCCGACTTTGGTCTGGTAACCTCAATGTTTGACGAAGAAGTTCGCCAGAGCGCACATTCCATGGACAATGGATCCGGTGACTGTGATAAGGAATCACACCGTAAAGAAAATCAGCTGATCGGAACCTCTAAATCCGGTGTTTCGGGTCACATTGATACCGCTCGACGTCACAAAGTCGGCCATTCACTCTATCGCTACGCGCAGAGACATACAAATAATGTCGGTACTGACTTGTACATGAGTCCGGAACAGGTATGTATGGTTTGTCTCAACGAACAATGGGCAATATCCAAAAAGTCAGTTATATTTGTTCCACTTTCCGCTCCTATACTCACGCTAGACTATTTTCTTCTCATTGGACCAACGTCGTACATTATTTCATATACCGCTACATTTATTTTACATATTTCATGTTTATTTATTTTGTATATTCACATCGATTCCGTTTGAAAACTCATCCTCGCGTGATCAGTCTAGTTAGTTCACACTCGAACTGGTTGGAACTGGACTCAAACTACGCTCATCATCATCACCAAAGACAGCAACATCTCAAACTACTCATCATCACCAAAGACAGCAACATCAGTGTTGGCACTGATGCTTCACTGCCGTACCTTACCGTGGTGTGGCGGTTTGTGTTGTGTAACGACCCATTGAGCTATACTGAGGAGTGTCCGCACGATGCTCACAGAGTCTCTCATACCAGGTTGGTCCATGAGTAGAGGTCCGACGAACACAGTCTCCTGGCCCTCCAGGTTGGGGGTTGGAGCATGTATGGCGACGTGTTCCGTAAAAAAATGGTAATGTACTTGCATTTCCAGCCGAACCCCGCTGCCTTGCGGTTAGCCTTTTGAGCCAAAGGCTTTGGTTGAGGACCCTAATCGTCCTCCTGTCTAGGTGTGGGCTCCCTGACAATATCCCAGCCCTTGTACGCTAGTCAACTATGCTTATTCTTGGCTATGCCGGGATTCGAATCCCACACTCCTAGCATCCGAAGTGAGAGCCTTACCGCCATTCCACCAGAACACGCTGGATACACCTAAACTTCCACGAACCTTGGCGATATGGGTGTCTTTTTTCGTCTGTCAGACAATAGTAATGATTCCGAGCGTTAGTGTGGACTAACCAAAATAATCGCACAAGGTCAGAAGGAGAACTGTTGGAGTGAGTGTGATACATATACAATGTATACAAATTGTGCAACTTCTCATCGCCAAAACTACTCCCTGCTTCCTTGTCGCTTTTTGTGTCAATATGTCCGATCTAACATTCGTGGTGCCTGAAACTGACCGTTCTTTACTGAGTGACACTTGATACTGTCCAGTAACGTGGTAAAGTACTCACCCCTGTCAAGCAAATGCCTTTGTTTCTCGGTGATTATTTTCTCGAGAGGGAACGGTCATGAGAAAGAAATCCGTGCCGCAAAGGTTGTTGTTTAGATGGGAATTATCCTCAAGGCCGTTTCTGTTTCGTAAACAGCAACTGAGCGCACATTATAATCATCATCATCATCATCATCAATGACAGCAACATCAGTGTTGGCACTGATGCTTCACTGCCGTACCTTACCGTGGTGTGGCGGTTTGTGTACCTCGACGACCCATTGAGCTATACTGAGGAGTGTCCGCACGATGCTCACAGAGTCTCTCATACCAGGTTGGTCCATGAGTAGAGGTCCGACGAACACAGTCTCCTGGCCCTCCAGGTTGGGGGTTGGAGCATGTATGGCGACGTGTTCCGTAAAAAAATGGTAATGTACTTGCATTTCCAGCCGAACCCCGCTGCCTTGCGGTTAGCCTTTTGAGCCAAAGGCTTTGGTTGAGGACCCTAATCGTCCTCCTGTCTAGGTGTGGGCTCCCTGACAATATCCCAGCCCTTGTACGCTAGTCAACTATGCTTATTCTTGGCTATGCCGGGATTCGAATCCCACACTCCTAGCATCCGAAGTGAGAGCCTTACCGCCATTCCACCAGAACACGCTGGATACACCTAAACTTCCACGAACCTTGGCGATATGGGTGTCTTTTTTCGTCTGTCAGACAATAGTAATGATTCCGAGCGTTAGTGTGGACTAACCAAAATAATCGCACAAGGTCAGAAGGAGAACTGTTGGAGTGAGTGTGATACATATACAATGTATACAAATTGTGCAACTTCTCATCGCCAAAACTACTCCCTGCTTCCTTGTCGCTTTTTGTGTCAATATGTCCGATCTAACATTCGTGGTGCCTGAAACTGACCGTTCTTTACTGAGTGACACTTGATACTGTCCAGTAACGTGGTAAAGTACTCACCCCTGTCAAGCAAATGCCTTTGTTTCTCGGTGATTATTTTCTCGAGAGGGAACGGTCATGAGAAAGAAATCCGTGCCGCAAAGGTTGTTGTTTAGATGGGAATTATCCTCAAGGCCGTTTCTGTTTCGTAAACAGCAACTGAGCGCACATTATAATCATCATCATCATCATCATCAAATCCGTGCCGGGTTGTTGTTTAGATGGGAATTATCCTCAAGGCCGTTTCTGTTTCGTAAACAGCAACTGAGCGCACATTATAATCATCATTCATCTCATCATCAATGACAGCAACATCAGTGTTGGCACTGATGCTTCACTGCCGTACAACCA